TATATATATATATATATATATAGATATATATATATATATATATATATATATATATATATATATATTTTTTTTTTAGGATAAATCCAAATTATTTTTTAATTAAAAAAAAAACCACAATTCACTATAATACCTTTTCTCATTTTTTTAATCTAGTTGTTAGTCGTAGTAACTATTTTTTTTCTCATTTCTCTTCTCATCTCTCCATTCTCTTCACAACCCACGCCTCCACTCACACCCTTGCTGCCTCGTCAGACGGCCACACCCTTTCTATCTTTCTCCTTCTCGGCGAGACCTACCGCTGATCGTCTCCGCCGCACCGAAGTCGCCCTCAAGTGCCTCCTCGTTAAAATTACGCTCAAATTATGGATCTTGATATTTCATGAGTTCGATGAACTCATATTTATACTTCATTGATTTTGTATTGAGAATGTTTTTTATTTTTTATGAACAATAATTTTGTTTGATTTTCTTATAATGTTATGGTAAAATTGAAAATACTAGGAACTGCGAAATGATGTACGATTTTGTTTAATTTCCTCTTCCTCTATCTTACATAAATTCGGCACGAGGACGAGCTTTGGTTTCTTGAATTTTTGTGAGGCGTCTGTGGCCATGGAAGATGGAAAACGATCTAGTGTTCAGGAATAGTGGATTACGTTTTCTTGTTTCTTTTTTTATAGTGGATTACGTTAATTCATTGCAGGATAATATATATTTTAGTGAATTACATTAATATTAAAATAGATTATGTTAATTTAAAGTAAATTGTACGTTTTTTTTTTTTTTTTTGATGCAAAGTAAATTGTACATTCATTCCAATAGTGATTTTACATAATTTTATAATAATTTATTATTTTTTATCGTTTATCATTTTAACGTTTTACTTTTGTCATACTTAATCATCTATTATTTTAATAATATTTCTTTAAGTACTTCTCGTGAATAGTTGAATGCATATATATTGTATTTCTAATAGGCATTGTATTGTATTTCCCAATAGAGTTTGAGTCCCCCTCATCTACTTTCCTTTGTAATAAACTTAAATTTACTCAAAAAGAAAAAAAAAAAAAAAAAAAAAGCCAACCAAACAAACAACGCTCTTTCATTGGAGCGCAATTTTTGGTTTACAAAATGAAAAAAAAAATCTAACTTTTGGCATATTTTTTTTCTCAAAAATAAATAAATAAATAGCATTTCAAACCCATAACGGGGTTAAAGATGATCTTTAGTATATATATATATATATATATATATATATATATATATGGTAACTGCATGATAATTTTATGAGTGAAAAAGGATATACTAATTCAGAATGTATATATATAAACTTGAATTAATGAAATAAAATTAAACGTCTGATTTAGGGCCATAAACGAACTGGTAAATACGGTACCACGATACCGTGTGGATTAGGTAAAGATAAAATTTGAGAGCCACGTTTGGTCTTAGGTTTTTATTTCAATATTTTGAAAATAAATAAATATAAAAACATAGGCTGATTGATCAATATCTATTTATATCTCTGAAATAAATAGACCGGCAGATAAGAAAGGAAAATAAATTAATCAAATAAATTCAAATATAAGGTTGTCTTTCGTTTGTGTCTCAATGGGGATGACACCAAACGTGTAGAGAAGGAAAACGTTGACTTTTTTATGCCCTGTTGACCTTTGAATTTGTTTTGAAAATCTTGGTCGCAGTTCGCAAATGTTGTGTGTGATGTGTTTGTTCGACCGCTAAACGGAATTGGTAAATAGGAATGTGTAAATATTATGAATTCCGCGGCGTTGACTAAAGTCCACTCTACGTCATTTGATTCCGGGTTTCATCATTCATCTTTTCTTTTCATGGGGTTTGGTCACTAGAAATAGGACTTCACCTAATAACATTCTAAGGAATTATTTTCCATCCCTACTCACTCGATTGCCGGAAAAATTCATATATCGCCAGATTTAAGGTCGACGAGGATGGACAAGACGATGGATATGTTGTAGAAAATGGAGAGAGTTCACGAGAAAGTATATGATCTTTAACTGATCGTGTGTGCATAACCCTAATAAATTTCTTTACATTTGTTTATATGTAGAAAGAACCATATATGGTTGTTTCCTAATCTAGGACATTTT